TTTTAACCTAGTGAATCAACTATATATTGCATATTTATTGGTATTATTGCATATAATGTATTGCCATTTTCTTAAAATGCAACCACTGTGCAAATTTTAATATGTTGTTATTGTAGAACACATTTACATACGCTTTTCACACAACTCACACACACACACTCAGACACAGCCTTTCACATACTTATTTTGAACATTTCGCCATGTCCGGCAAAGCGACGTCAATGACAAGCCCCGGCTGGCTGAGTGACTGGCTGGACGGAGAGACTGATGGACAGATGGACAGATGGACTGACTGACTGACTGACTGACTGACCAATGCCATAAAAGTTGCCGCCTGTGCTGCCTAGATAGTGTGCCCTGCAGCTTTTGCATGTGGCTGTCTGCATATATATATATATGTGTATGTGTGTGAGTGTGCATGTGTGTGTCTGAGCTGATTGATTGATTATTTGTTCCGCATCACTCACCTGGAAAATTCAACTGAAGTGGCAACTTTAATTAATTTGCTTATATATGTTGCCGCCAAGTTGACTGTCTGCAGCACACACAGTCACGTGTGTGTGTGTGCGTGTGCGGTATATAAACACAACAAACAACAGTTAATACATAAGCTTGCAAATTAATTGGTTTAACGTACAGACAGGTGAGGCCTGAATGCGTCTGGGCCGTGATTGGGCCGTCAATTGGGCTGCGCCGAGATTCTTTATAATGGCTACATACGACTTTTATATACATTATTTTAAGTAGATTTTATACATACACGAACGAAATCAAGTTTGACCCATTTTATGAAAAATAACTTACTTATCCACATAAACTAATTAATATTTTAATTATTTTAGTTTACATAAAACGCTTGCTTTCATTAAAACGTTTTATTTCATTTAAAAACTAATTTGGGGTATTTCATTAATAAATGAAAATTTGTTGTGGCCGAAAAGTATCAAAAAATTATATAGCAGAAATATAATTAAGTATATAAATAAATTGTAGGATAATAATAATAAACATTATTTAATACTAGAAAAACAAACGAGCAACAAATAAATAATTAGAAAATGCGCAAAATTCCATAAACTACTTCGATAAGTATAAAGTATTACATATAATGTATTTTCTTTAGTCATATAATATTTAAAATATTAATATTATATATGGATACCAGAGAAAAACAATTAAATGCATTTTTCATAGAGCTGAACCGAAATGAATTCCAATTGAGTAGGCACAATTTCTAAAATATCTTTTTCTATATTTCCATGCAGTCAAGCCTTTCTAATCTATTTAGAAGGCTCTGACATCACTTTAACAATGGAAGCATCATAAACTTATCACCAGGTCCAGTGCAGCAAAAGAAGTTGCATTGAATTTAATTCTAAGACTTAAATTTATTGGGCGCATTTAAATTTGGAGAGCATAAGACAAACAAATAAATTAATAGGTTAAAGAGCGGCCAGACTAAAGATGAAACACAGATCATTTATAAAAATTATCGTATATTTCAAATCAAAATAACTGTTTTCACACTTCTAAGCCTATAAGAAGACAAAAAGCCCAAAACACATAAAAATATGTTAAAGGCTTTTAAAATCGAACTCTTCAGTTTATAAAAACTATAACAAATTGAGTCTAATAATTTAGCGTGCGCCAAAATACCGTTGGCAGCCAAGATTCCAGCATCGAAAACTGGCTATAACAATAGGACGAGATTTCCAGCTGATTTGTTTATGAGCGTTTTTTTACCGTTTGTTTCTTTTTGATATGCCAGCGACCACCTACTTATTAGTTTGAGATTTGATGGCGTTTTTATGGCATATTAAACGCTTTATCATTCATGTATAACCAAATATTTTCAACTTTCTTTCAACCAGCATTTCACCAGGCAACTGGAAGCTGAGACGCACTTAACTTAATCTGTGCTTAACATATTGAGATACTTTTGTATCTCATTAATTGGAAAAAGTCACGCTGTCAATGAGAATGATTTCTAGACCGCTAATTGCTGATAGATGCAACTGTTTGTGGATTGTGGATTTATAGCCGCGATTAAAGCCAGTCTTTAATCTAAATGCTTCAATTTGACCTTGTCGCTTCAACTTCTCTAGATACGAATGACTCAGTCGAAAGCTAACGAAAGCTGACTGACAGGCTGTCAATCGCAATCAGGCTTTAATTTGTGTGTACGTGTTGCTGCTACAATTATGTTGATAGTACATGTATGTGCCATTATGTTCCATAATTATCAGGGTTCTTATAGTGTTATATTTTGGAAAACACTTTTGTTAACTTTAGGCAGCCTAAAAATAATTTAACATTGAATTTTATACAGATGCATACATGAAAACTTGAGTCAAGTAATGGAAGATTGATAAGAATTATAAAAAAACTTTGAGATTTTTTTTTCTTATATATCTTTTTAATCAATTTAAAAATAGAATTTTATCTATTTATACTTGTCAAACTGTTAACAAACTAATAATATATATATAAATTTAAAAAATGTGTTAAGTATAAATTTAAATTGTTTATAAATAAGAACATATGTCGAAGCCGAGGCTCAAAAAAGTATCAAACATTATATTTATAATGTTTTTGATATTATTATTAATTTCATTTGTTTCACTTTCTTTGATATTTGCAATATTATTTTTATTTTTGCTTTTCTTTTATCTATATTTATAATGAAATTGATATCTTTTATATAAATACATTTACGTCTGAATACATACTTGACTAGGTTATATTCAAAATCTTATTACTTCTTATTCCCATCAATTTGTTGTATATTCCTCTTTAAAGCCATTTCTATATATAATGTCACTTTACCTCTCAAACTGACATTGGCCAAGAAGTAACTTTGCGCCTTGCTGCCCCCTGACTCGATAGCATTACAGGGGTCGTAACTTTCAAAGAGGCTTTATCAAAAAAGAGAGAGAGGAGGAGAGGAAAACGCATTAGCATCTTAACAGCCAAACGAGCAAAACGATGGCCAGAGGCAATGCCAGACAGATCAGAGTCCGATACGCGTGTACCTAATATAACCCTAAGGTGGCGAGCCGAGGTGCTGAGGTCCTAAGAGGTGCTGAACTGCTTATTTAAATGCTACACCAATTTATTGTCAACGGGCACATTTCATTCATGCATTGTCCTGCCGCATAATCCTTGAATGGGCTACGTGCCCCTAAGGCGGTTCCTTAACGCATTTGCGCCATATCTGACGACCGTCGCGTCGTGTCGCCTTTCGCCTAACGACTTCCGTTCGAGCTTTGCGCACGCGCAGTCCGCTTCGAGCCTCTGGAGCTGTGGAGTGGAGCGCCCACAGTTTTTAATGATAATCTCTTGAGTTATGTGTTTTTAAATATAATTTCGTTGTTGGCGTGCAGACGACGGCCCCATAACTCACATAGCGCCAAGTCACGAACTGTCAGGGGCAGCAGCTCCAGCTTCAGCTTCAGTTTGTGAACTGTCCAAGTTGAGAGTTGAGCTGAGAGTTGTGCGTTTTGCGTTTACAGCGTGTTACACATGAGGCACTCCCACGGGCAGCGCTCGCATCTCATTAATTGGCTCATAAAGTAATGACCCGGCTACCTGGCCCAAAGAAAAAAATACATCTCAGCCCGATCTTTGCGTGACTGCTGGGCATCCATAAGCGGTACGTTTAACTTTTTCACAAGCTTTGCGGCAAATTTGGCACCCAATTTATCAAACGAGAGCGTTTGTCGCCCCGCGGGTGCAGTTCTCATTCTCAGCAGCAACTGGCGTGGGAATCCCGTCAGGTTGTGTAGGTGAGAATTTTGGAATGCGTTTTTCGGAAAGCTGCAAAGTTTGGCAGTACGCCTGCCGCAGTCTAGCGCTAATAATGCGCCTTATCCCGTGCCCTGTCCAATGCAGACAGAGAGGGAGACAGAGTGAGAGAGAGAGAGAGGGAGCAGCTGCGTCTGCCACAGAACACGCTGTAATCCTGCCGCGTAACTTGAGCTCAAGTCGTGCACAGATGCCGTAAAGGGTCGAAAGCCCGTAAAAACCACCACCCTTCATCCCCCACCGCCCCTGAGCTGCCACATGCTGGGCGTGTGCTTGGGCTGTGCAATCAAATCAAATGAAATCAAATAAAATTAAAATCCACTTTGAGCCTATTAAAGTGTGCCAGTGATTCGCATGCGCCCTGACTGTCGTCCTCATTCTCATTCACATTCCCATTCCCATCCTCATTCCCATCCTCATCCTCATCCTTCGTCCAGGCAACTGTCACACGCCGTCGTTAGTTTTAATTGACATGCAAGTCAACGTCCAGCCGACGGCGACATGTCAATCAAATGTGCAGCCTGCCCGGCCATTCGCATATACTAGTAGCTCTCCGGCTCACACCCACCCCCCAAACGCCCCATAGGCAAATGTACCCCCTGCACGCCTCATTATGTCGCTGTCACTCTGCGGTTTGTTGACACACGCGTTTAGCTCAACACGTCTCAACAGCTGCGATTCGAATCCGCTTTTCCTTTTTTTTATAGGCAGTTTTTCTCTTTTTAAGTGGTAAATTGTTGGCCTATTAATTGGTGGTCTCTATGGCATTGTTCGAGCCATCGCATTAGGCAGTTAACTAATTTGGCTCAAGTGCCAAATACATTCGTTTGTGGAGTAAATATTTGGCATGGAAATTGACTAAATACAATTGAAATATGACTATTGTAGTAAAAAAAAACATGCAGATGTTTCACATATTTACATATTTTATACTTATAGACGAGAGAATTTTTAGGAATAGGTCGGGAAATAGAATTGTTAAATTGTAAGTAACATTTTCTAACATTTTCTCTGATGTATTTATTTAAAAAAAATGTTTTCCTTAGGTGACTAAAATAATTAATTTTAAATTTATTTTTATTCTAAGATAAAAAGTACTTAATATTACTCAATTATTTAGTAGTACTCAATATTAATATTATTACTTATTAGAGCATAGACCATAATTTTATCAGCAAATTTTTGTTCAATTTCAGTATACAGCCTTCTGGAAATTGTCAGGCTACTATGTATATGCAGGAACTGAGCTGGAATGAATTCGATGGAGCTGACAACTTACACAAATGGTAAGTGCATAAAACAAACATTTAAATTGATTAATATTTGTTTATTGCTGCTGTGGATGCAAGATATCCCGGCTGCTTAAACATTTTTTAAAGGGCTTAGCTAATTAAGATAATTACAATCTTAAATTAATCAGACAATTATTTCCATGGCCCAAAAGCATTAACAATCAAAAGCCTCTTTGGCTTAATTGAATTTGCTTTAAACAGAAATTATTATTTTTTGAACAATCCAAGGTAAACCTGAATATTGATCAATAAAAAGGTTATAAATTGCTGTGTTTTTACAAATATTGATAATTTTATTTGTGTATTTGAAATATAATTAATCGAAATAACATAATTTATAGAAAACAATTACCAACATTTATATATATATATATATGTCTATATAATTCGCAACGTGAGTAAACAAGCAAACATCGTAAACAAATGCAAAAATCCCATTTAACATAGCATCAGCTTTATGTAAGAGCATAAACTTCTTATGGGCATTTAGTACATTTCAATTGCATGGAATATCATTCAGTTTACAATCTGAAAACAACACGAAACGAGTCACGTTTGTCAGGCGTCTGCCATATGCTGAATGCTAAGCCGAACTAATAGGCCAATAATTGCTGTCCGAGACAGACACAAGCTGCAATACTGTGGCAAGCGGAGGGTGCATTGAGTTTGCGCAACAAATTGCTTTGAATGTGGCAAAGAAAACACAAGCAGTTGCAAGAACTCAGCAACATCCACAGAGGTAGGACAATTGGAAATTGAATTGGTGGCGCGATCTACAAGGAAAGTAAAACCCATAGGGAAAGGGTTGGAGTGGGTGCAGCAGGATGTCAAGTGCACTGGCAGCTGCTTTTCAACACTGGCCACATAGCTTTTAAGCAGCATTATGCTAGACAAAGGATGCGCTTCCCAGAATTTCAAGCATGGCTAAGACTCTGCAACAGAACAGTTCTATGCTTCGCTGAGCTGAGCTCAGATACAGATACAAATGCAGTTGCAGATACAGCCACATATTTACATATTTATTTATGTGTTTGTGTATATCGCCAATTGTTGGCTGTGCGCTGCTCGTTTTGTTAAACAATTTGTTTGCTCTGCCACACGCACATTGTGTTGGCTCAGAGAGCTGCTAATTGCACTTGTTGATTGCCTGATAACAGGTTGCCACCGCGCCACTCCGCCGCCGCACCTGCCCGTCCAATTGCAGCGTTGCATAAGTGCCAATGCATAGGACAAACTTTTGTCCAAAACACACTCTATGGACGAGCTGGGCGTGGCAGCCACGCAACTAACTGGGCGTACACTTGCCCCTAACAATGGCGCACATGCCATCGACTTTGTCGACCAAGTTGCGTCTTTGGACTGCATGGACACTCCACAGTTGTTGCCACTGCAACAGCAACAGTTGCTGCTACTGTCATTGCAAACAAACTTAAGTAGGTAATTTGCAACTAATTTTCAAGTGGGCAATTCAAGTTGAAGGCGAGTGTGTCAGTTTGTTGTCTGCATTGTGCTGTGTATGAGTGTGTTAGCAAGCATTGCGCATTGCTCATACGCAGCGTTGTGCGCCGGCTCTTATTGCTGCTGCTTACGTCAAGCAGGTGTCACAGTGTAATTAGAGTGGCCCACAAACTGCCGGCTGTTGGCTCAATAATCATAATATTGATAAAGCGACTGTTGTGGGGCATTAGACGCTGATTTCATTTGATCGAAAGCTAGACGCGCGCCTTTAGGCATGTAGCATAATGTTTTACGAATTTTTCGAAAGTATATATCAAGCTCGTATAATTCGCATTTAAAAATATTAGTGTTGCATTTGTTGATTAGTTAATTGTTTTCGGAAGATTAGTATTATTCAGCTGAGTAAAAAGAATATATGTTTGTTCCAATATTAAATTATGCTAAACGCTAGCCAGAGAATTTATTTATTTATTTATTGATATATTTTTATTTCAAATCTTACAACAGCTTAAGATTTATATTATGTCTCTTATATATAGCTATATTTCAGTTGAATATCGTAAACATTTTGTGCATATAATATATTATTATAATGATTGCAAAAAAATAAAATAAAATTATATGACTATTATCATGATAAACAATTCTTAACCTAACTTGACTTTTTCCCAACCCACTTTTAACTGTTGGCAGGCCCATCCACAGCTTTAGAAAACGCCCACCAATCACTTCTCCCTCTTCGAATTCAATTTACACATGGCAAATAATTCGCCAACAAAAAAAAAAGAACAACATATTTTTCATGCTTGCAACGCCTTTACTGGCGGCTAATAAAATTTCCAAAAGCGTATAAAATTAAATAATAAAATAAAAAAAAAAAAATGGAACGCAGCTTCCAGGCAGACGCAGACATTCAGTGCGTGATTTCCGCACAGCAGCGTTCACATGTACGCGCCATTAAATAATTTCCGCCCTCGCCCGGACCCAGACCCAGACTCAGACCCAGACCCAAACCCAATGATGTAAACCCTCAGACTTGAAGCCAGAAGCAGAGTCGATCTGAAGTTGCAGTCGCGTCGCTGATTGCGTTTTACAAATAAACTAGAAATATTGCCACCAAAAACCGAAGCGCATCCGAAACTGGAAATTGAGAAACGCTCGCCGATTTCACTGAAAATTGAAAAAAAAATATATAAATAAAATAATGTTTGGGCCATTATGCAGAGTTGGCTATTAAAAACGCGGCAGCTTGGTTAAAGCCATCACAAAATTGGGGTACATAGCGGTACTTATTATGGGTGTTAACGGTTTCGCAGCGCCAGAGCCGGCAGCTAGACAGACAACAGAGTTTGCAAGCCGAAAACTAAAAACAAAACAACCGACAAAAAATCAAAAACAAAAAACAAAATACAAAAAACTCGACTGTCAGTAACATTTGTTGGACTCGCTCGTCGGGAATAATTTAAAAGCAGAAACCAAATGTCATTCGCGTGGCTTTTCAAATAACATATTTAAAATTATGCACAACACTTAAAAATCAACGCGTTTTTTTATTTCACTTGGGCTATGATATTTTTTGGCTTTACCTTTTTTCGATTTTTTTTTTTATTTTTCTTAGGCAGCATCAATCGATGGATCAGTTTGACAACAAACGTCGCCAAACTGGTTTCGATCCAAAAAAAATTTCGAAAATGTTGCCGTTGTTCAAAATTTAAAACTCATAAATAGTATTGGGTTATCTTTTGGTCGGAGTCGGGGGGAGCTGTGATCTGTGCCTAGTTAGGCTTTGATAATCGGCGCGCTGTTGCAATGCCTCGGCCTTTGGGAAATCTCTATTAATTGTTGTTAACATTTGTGGAAAGTGAAGTTTGTTCGCTTTGTACAGTTAGTTTGTCGTAGGTCTGTGTGAAAGCCAACTAACTGACCTTGCCAAATTGAAATTGACGACTACTTGGTAAATCGATTCAAGCTTTCAATTAAACAGATTAAAAATCATATAAGTGTATCTTGGCTATTCCAAAAAAAAAACGTTTTAACGGGGCATACAATACGCTCGATATGTACAATATTTCTTGAGTGGACAATTTTTATTAAATTATATATTTGGAATCCCCGCGTTTGACAATTATGCTGTAAATTAAGAATTCGTGCTTAGCTTAATAGTTAAAGTCTTTGCTAGATTTTGAGAGCATTTGTTTAGGAAATTCTCGATTTGTTTACGTTTATACTCTGTACTTTTCAATCCAAGATTTACGAGAAGAAAAATGCAACAAGAGTTGAAGTGGGGAATGTTAAAAAAATAATTTGATTGGAATAATTTGTTAAGATTGCTGTGATAGCAGAAGAAAACCAACACAGATGTTTGAAGATCTTCTGCATTGTCTTAGTTTTGATTTGGCCCGTCGTTAGTTGAAGAAAATTGTATACATCCAAATGATATTTTCCAAGACTATTTGCTTTAGGTATTTTCGCATAGGTGAGCCTTAAGCTGCCAATGCTAACGCCTTTAGACCACAATATAACCGAGTCGTTCTTCCATACGATCCATTGCATCTTATCTTCTTCTACCCGCAACCGCATATATTTCCTTAGAAAACGCGACAGGCAGTCTGCGAAGCGGCTGGCAGCGGGGCTGTGCGATCGGGCGAGGCCAATCTTATCGCTGGCGATGCAACCATCGATAAGCAGTTGTCCAAATCAAACGAACCGCAAGAAGAAAACTTGGGAAATATGTGAAAAACCCAGTGCACAGTAGTCGCTGCAATGATTACCCAGGCAGCGAAGGCATTGTCTAATAATTCAAATACCGCAAAAAAGGAAAACTGAGAAAACAAGAGTTGATAAAAATCAAAATCGTAAAATGGTACGTAAAAATGCGAGGCCATCTAGTTGTGTGTGTGTGTGTGCGTTTGTGGATGTGTGTCTTGTTCTGAGAAGAGGCACGCAAGCCAGGACGATGGATAGAAGCAACTCCTACGACTGCCTGTCACATCCTGTGGCAAAGGTGGCAAAAACTCACAGCTACCTGCAAAGCAGTCAGCAAAAAAATATATGCCCCTAGCCGTGTATGTGCGTGTGTGTGTGTATGTGTGTGCTAGTAAAGATTTATTATGCTATACATTTCATGAATGTGTCGAGGGGCCGACCTGAATGTCTGCGTGTGTGTGTGTGTGTGTGTATGCTAGGGTTTCCCTAGAAAACTGCAGCAACAACAGCAACAACACATGAGGCACAAAAGGTGCGCATCATAATGGCTGACAAAAAGTCGGCCTTAGCCTTTAATAGCGCTGAGTTTAACAGCCAACACAAACACCATGAGCCCGTACAGTGTTCCACACGCACACACACATGCACACGCACATACATTTACATTCACATTCCCATTCGCAGCACTGGCAGAAAATGGCGACATTCCGCACTCCACTTGAAATGGGGCTTCCTTGGCATTCGCATTGGCCCCAACGTGAAAAAAGTGAAACTATTTTAGCTCTTGTTTGGTTAAGCGTTTTAAAGGCTGTCTGCCACTTGTACACTTT